TCGGAGCCTTTTGTTGAAGCAAGATGCGGCGGGGAAGGGAACGGGTGCTGTCACTGCACCCTGCTTCCAGTCGGTCTGTATCCGCTCCCTCCGCATGTGCGCATAATGCAAAAGCAACCGTTAATGAAAGAGAAAAAGCCGAGAGCAGCGCGAGCGCCTGTGCACAGGAGGTGTGGAGGAAGTGGTCTGTGCAGAGCAGCAATTTTGTTTTCCCTGTTACTCAGTGGGTACCCTGAGCTGACTTAATGCTCTTCACTAAATGTGGTATCACTGGACGTAAACGGGAGACCTCTACAGAACACAGACCAGCTAAAGCCAGCCAGAAAAGAAACCAGAGTAAGACTGACTGCCAAGGGAAGTGCTAAACATGTATCCAGTTTTCAAACTTGGATAGAAGCTGAGTCCATATTTAAACACCTCATTAGCCACTGCAGGCTCCAGTTTGAAATTTGGCGTCTCATTACTTTTTACAAATACATTGCCCCAGCATGCTAGGGAGACTGCTGCCAGAGACAGCACTATGGAGACGAGTGGTAAAATCAGCTTCTGGTGGAAAAGAAGAAAAAAAAAAAATTAGAAAAAAAAATCAGCAAACCACAAAGCACTCACTCACTTACTCACTCCAAAATTGAATACTTACTTATTTTGGTTTGGAAAAAATACGAAACAATCCCTTTCTCTTCTCCTCCCTAATTTTTGTAATGACAATTCAAACTTGTCTGTCTATGTTGCACAATATCTTAAGCCAAAAATAGGAATTTCTGCTAAAAATTAATTGAACAGAAAATTCATAGCCTGCCTTATCCTGGTCCTTTATTCATCACTTATACAATCAATAAAACATTATTTTAAAAGGAAGGAGAAGGTCTTGTATATTGCTCCTCTCTTGGCCGGATTTCAAAGCAGCTAATTAAATTCTGTCTGCCTTAACTCTTCCTGTAGTTTCCATTAGTGAGTTGTGCATTGCCCTATTTTATCAGCACCGACTCGGCAAAATGCTATGGAGGGGCATCCCCCAGGGGAGACTGTTTTCCATGGTAGGAAGAATGGTCCACAGAGAGCCCCACTCAAATGAGTGGCTGAGAATGAACTTCTCGATGCTACCGACGCCAGGCATGCCACTCCTTCCCACCGAACTTCTTCCCACCAAGTCCTTGCTCCGCTTTTCCTCCCTGCTGACCGTGCACAGGCTTGCCAAACCACAGCACATGCTGTCTGGCGTAGCTTGAGCCAGGTGGGCAGTATTTATTAGGACAGGTCTGTGGGCAGCTGAACACCACTACCTCCTAGCTCTCTAGCTGACTGGCCAGCCTGTGTATATACCTGGGAGCTGGGAACTACCACCAGTCTTTTGCCCGGCTGGCCACCTAGTTAGGAGGCAGAGTTCCTCTGCTTGAGAGTCTGCCTGCCTTGCTGTGAAGCATCGATACCCTGTGTCCTCAAGGGTCCACGCGTCGCAGGCACCTCGTGTGCACTGGTGTGCCAGCACAGTTTGCTGGTAAGCTGTGCTCTGCTTTAGGCTGGTTGGCCTCTTGTATGCGCTTTTATTTCAGAAAGCTTTTAGAGCCTTCAGAAAAAGAAAGCAATGTAGAAATGCGTAATGTCAATATTATTTTATTTAGTATACAATTATACTTTCATTCAGTGTAGAAAACGTATGTACAGAGCATAGAGCACCAAGACAGGCTAGATTTAGATGCATAGGTTTTAAATTTAATTCCATGTGTAAGAGGAATATATTTTATGGTTTTAAACTGAAAGAGGGTAGACTTAGATTAGATATTATGAAGAAGTTCTTCACTGTGAGGGTGGTGAGGCACTGGCACAGGTTGCCCAGAGAGGCTGTGGCTGCCCCATCCCTGGCAGTGTTCAAGGCCAGGTTGGATGGGGCTTTGAGCAACCTGGTCTAGTGGAAGGTGTCCCTGCCCATGGCAGGGGCGTTGGAACTAGGTTATCTTTAAGGTCCCTTCCAACCGAGACCATTCTGTGATTCTACCTGTATGTGCCTGGGAGATGCCATCATGGTACAGGTACAGGAGCCTACGTGCTCCTATTTTTCTGATGCATAAAGTCAAGACTGGATGTAATGAAATCAAGTAGCAGTGTTGATCTTTTTTCCAACGTGGCATTTAAACAACACGATTCTAGTAAGATGGGGTCTCACAGAGAAAACAGTTGTTCAACAAAAATCCTTGTCAGTTCTGTGTCACAGGTTATTCCTCTGTCTTATGTAGTCCATTGATGTCAGATTCCTGGAAAGCAAAAAGCACACACAGAGAAAATGGGAAGAGAGCAGGTAATCATTGCAGGGGTTCTGCCAAAAGTGTCTGCTCTGTGTATCCAATTTTATATCCTTCATATCTATAGTATGTTATTGAAGTCTGATTCCCCGCTGCCTTGCAAATCATTTGCATCTCTGCACTGTGATATAAAAGGCTTCCTCGCTGATTGGATAGCTTTTTATATCTTCTCAGCACTCGTGTTTCTCTGACATAGATATCTATGCAAAGTACAAGGCTTTTGAGGATCCGGCCCTTGTAGTTCATGCTTCGTTGCCACAAGGTAAGTCAAAACAGCACTCGCACAAAATGTGGGAATGAGAAGTCATGGGGAGCGTTCGCCGTCCTCCTGCCTGGCATCTGAAGGTTATTGAAGGCCAGACTAGACCCAGGCAGAACAAGTCAGGGTAGTCCCGAGCCCTGCTTCCCTGCGAGCCGCTTGCCAGACGGGATCACTCTTAATTCATCTCGGGAAGCTTGTCCCGTGCCTCAGCTTGCGTTCTCCACCGGTGGGGGAACGGTGGCACCGATGGAGAAGCGCCAGGGTTGGCTGCCAGCTGGCTGCCGGAGGCAGCTTCGGATGAGTGCTTCTTCCCATGGGTGGCGTGAGCTCTGCCCCGCACGGCTGCGCAGGGGAGGCTCGTAGTGGCTGAGGATCTGGTCCTTCAAGTTAAAAGGGTTGAAATATGCATGAAGCATAGGGTGACATTTTGAGTGTCTCAGATCAGAGCACGGACGTTACTGAATTTAAAATGTAACTGCAATTTCCTGACTAATGCCGAGTCACTTTTATATTCATGCAGTGATTGTTCTTTATTCTTAAAATAGCCCATTTTACCCTGAGGCGCAGGTGATATCTTTATGATGATGGAGCTACGTTATCCAGCACATTACAGTTCGGGCCGTTGGTTTGTACAAGGGCTGTTTATGATCAGCTGTCCTTTTTTATTCTCTCTCAATTTATACAATGCTTTTGTAGCCTGTTTGTGATTTGCTTGAACAAGAATCCAGCAGAGGAAAAAAAAAAAAGAAGAAGAAAAAAAAAGAGATGCACTGGAGATGCAGTATTATTGTCTTTTACTTCCTGTAGCTGAGCTGTACGATTTACCATTGTGTCTCCAGGTTTCTGAGTCCATTCAGATAACATGACCAGTTAAATTGCTTCAGTAGCCTTACACCTCTGCAGAGAGCCAGCCTGTTTGCTAGCATCCGGGGCTTTCTGTGGTGAAGCGTACAGGATATTATAAGTAAGGTATTCAATGAGAATGAGATAACAAAAAGAACTCTGAGACATATTTGCTATTCATTCAAAATAAAAACCTTGCATGTAGTAGCAACCACAGAAAACCAAAGGCAGGCTTTTCAGCAGAGCAGGAGCATCAGCAGCCCGGACATTTGCTGCACTAAGGGTGAAGGTGTAGAGGCTGGAGCTGGAGCTGCGGCTGTGACAGAGGCAGGACAACAACTAGGGGGAAGGAGAGAGCTGGGAAAGTGAGATCTGCTCCTGGATGGGTTCCCTTCTCTCTCCCTCCACCAGCAGTAGCTGCTGCCCCACCGACCCGCACCCCTGGCTCCGCATCAGCACCAGCAGCGAGCTTTGCTGCTTCCCCAGGCTCTGGCAGAGGGAAAGGGGATCGGGACCAGAGCTGTTCTGCTACCCCCAGGAGCCCGTTGCTTTAGGCTGCCGCCTGCTTTGCCTATGAGCTGTCTGTAATGCCTGGAATTACCTTTGGTTCTGCTAAGCACAAAAAAGTTTAGATGAGAGGCTGTAGTAATTACAAGAGTGAATTGTCATGGCATAGGAATTTGTGGAAGTGGTGCTGAGGCCCCAGTCAGGAGGAGCATTTTAAGCGACATACCTGCTGATTTGCATGGAACTAGCTTGCTTATTTAAAAAAAAAATACTGCTGCCTGCATGCAGTGAAACCCAACTAATCAGCAACTCCTAGAAAGTTTGACTTGAAAGAAAGGCAGATTCAGCGCCCAGATGAGAGAGGTGCACAGGAGCCTCAACAGGTAATGTTTTGCCGTAACTCCCGGTATTTGTGTGCCTTCGTCGCACCTCCTGTTTGGCACAGACCCAGCCAGCCGCCTTTGCTCTGCAGGCTGTATATGGCATAACTGTGGTTACACTTGCAGCTGCTCTCCTTGCCCCATCTTTTTATCCATCTCTTTAGCTGTGCGTAATCTGGTGTGTCACTGGGGCAGGTGCAATGATTGCCTTACTCATCTGTACTGTGCCCAACACAAGAGCCTTCATCAGAAACTAGTAGGTCCTGCTGCAATACAAATAATAATAACCAGGAGCAGTATAATCAGGCATGGATTTACTGGGTGGGAATAGGGTATGTATGTGTGGGAAGAGGGCAATGAGGAAGGGGAGACTAGTTTGAGGGCCTCTAGGTGATGATATCCTGGAGATTGGTGCCTCAGCATTTCTGGTTTAAATGGTTGGATGTAGAGATTCTGGCAGGTGCCGTGTAATTTTATTTTAATTTTTTTCCCCACCATAAATCAGACTTGGTTTCTGACGGAATAATCACCAGAACTCCAGCAAACAACACGCCTGCCAATGATAAGCTGTTTCTTCTGGCGACTCAATGTATAGCTGTTTGTTTGCTGGATATTGCAAAAGGCAGTACATTTGATGTTTGTGCAATTCTGTTTTCCTTCTGATTATTTTTACGTGCCTCTCCCTCTCTCTTTCTGTCCTGTATACAGATGTTCGTATTCACCCCATGGAGCCTATGCCCAAAGCAAACTTGCCCTTGTGTTATTTACCTATCGACTACAGCATCTTCTGACTGCAAATGGAAGCCATGTGACTGCTAATGTAGTAGACCCTGGAGTAGTGAATACTGAGCTCTACAAGCATGTCTTTTGGGTTGTAAAAGTGGCCAAATGGATGACAGCCTGGCTATTTTTCAAGGTATGCAGTTTTTAAAATGATTTTGTTGCCTTGCCCCTGCATCGTAAGAGCGATAGTCAGCACGGAGCTGAAGGTGTTTCTGAGTTTATCATAATGTATGGTATTTATTGCATTTCTCTGTGCTGATGAGATGTACAAAGTTGATAAAGACAGACGTTCCCCAGAACAAACACTTACTTTAAAGGAAGAGAGCGAGCTCTCCCAGTAAGGGAAGGGAATGCTTCTCACTGTCTGTGCCCATGCACTGATTATCTCTGCCCTGATCTATCCGTGTGCCTTTGTGCATGCATGGGGGCAGAACATCATCCTAACACAGAGCCAGAATATGCAAAGTGTTCCTCGGAAATGTCTTGTACGTCCTCGTAATGAGAAGCAGGCATGATCTGGCACGGTCTACATGTATGCAACATGTTCTAGAGAAAAGGGCAAAAGGAAGGAGGAAGCTGTACAAAACTGGTGGGAAGTGGCCATACTCCGGGTGGTGCGGGTCCAGACGCTCGTGTTCTGGGAGGTGGGACAATTTTCATTTAGATTTTTCATCCTAACACGTACTTGTAATGGTACCTGATTTTTTATTATCTATTCCTGGTCTGCATTAGGAAACTTAAAGCTGTTTGATAAAACCGATCCAGAAGTGGGGCAGACCCAGCTATGCTTAACTTCAGTAGCATTTTGTAGTGGTGTAAGTAGATCAATCTGAAATCAGTTTAGCTGCGTAGGTGCAATCTCCTCACGCGGACAAGCCTTAGGAGGACTTGTGCTGAGAAAATGTACTGCTTATAACTCTTTCAGAAAGTAGTTTTGGATTAAGTGAATGGAACCTGATTCCATTAGAGAAAATTAAATGTCCTAATTAAAATGAAGTATTTTAGATCAAGGGGCATGTCCCACAAAGCAAATTAATTTTAAACTTTGATATGGAAATATCACTAGCTTTAATTTTAGAAATGAAACTGGAGGCTGGAAGAGTGGCTGTAAAATAAGATGCAAACAAATAAACCCATATTTAAAAAAATTAATAGTATCTTCTGAGTACACCTTGAATATTGCAATAAAATTGTAATAGGAATGCTCATAATATGTAATGCATTCTTAAAGAAGCAGAATGCATCTTTGCCAGACTGTATATATTAAACTTGTTTTGCCTCTTGTGATTGCCATTTTAAATATCAGTCTCAGCTGGTGGTGTTTTTTCATTGGACTTACTTCACCTTGCTAACATAACAGTTTCATGTAGATGTTTAGGTTGTGCTCAGCATTTCCTCTAGAGCCACAAAATTCTGACAAAATTTCTGTGTCTGAGAGTGAGAACTGAGTCTCTTGTTTACAGCACTCAATCCCATATGGTTTTATTGGTGTGCCCAGGGAGACATTTTTGTATTATACTGACCATGTTTAGACACCGAATGGGATGTCACTGAACACACATAAAATTAGTTTGGATTTATCCAAAGAGGGAGTCTCCTACTTACAGCTCTAATAGTAATGCCGCTAATAGTTCCTGATCACTTCCTATTCTTTGGATGAGGTACTGTTCTAAAGGAATTCTGCCTTGCAACAGGTGACGGACAGACATACTGACTTGCATGGAAGTGTGATGTGTGTACTGCCTGCAAAGCAAATATATCAATTGCTTTTTGAGTCAGAATGACTTCAGGTTTGGATAACTGAATGCTTCAGTTATTGAGGTTGAGTTTTTCACATTTTTATATAACACTCATTGTGGTTTTCCTATAAGCCAAAGGAGAGGAAAACTCTTACTATCACTCTTCCCATCCTGCCTTAGACTTCTGAGTTACAGCTCCGACTTCTCTTTCCTTATTGCTTAAGATACGTTTATGTATTCGGGATTGACTTTGCCTTCCTTTCTCACATTCAGGAGCACTTCATCACATAGGTATGCCGTGTTCAGCTCTGGCAGAACAGAACTACATCGCAAGGCAATGTTTAGCTCCATGGCAAGCTCACGTTAAAAGCCTGCCTGGTGATTTCACTATCACTGTATTGAGTGCTGTAGTATCCAGCATTCAAGCCTGGGTGGGTCTTGTGGGTCTTGTGTTGGTCTTGTGCACTAGGGTAAATTTCCCCTGAGAAAAGTAAGAAAGCAAGTACAAGAAAATTCAGTTGTCTGATAATATTAACTGATAGTTGGTGTCATGGTTTTCCTCTCCCTGGGAATTTCAGTCCAGAGTGCACATATATGAATCTTCCTTCTAGGATTATGGCAGTAATGCAGTGGAAATAAGGTGATAGCTCTCTAATCATATTGGCTCAACTAACTTTTATCAATCACTCTGAAGTATTCTGGAGCATTTTCTAAACGCATGCAGGAAATTGCTTCACCCACTGCAACCTGGCGCTCGTGACAGCCAGCACAGCCCAGATAGCTCTGGTGAGGAAATGCATCACGGATTTATCACATCACATTCCCTCAGGAGCGAGTCAACATGTTGTTTGATTTAATTCCAAAATATTGTGGCAGAGCCTCCACTACCTTTAAATGCATTTCTGCCAGCACTGGTCCCAGTTGCATTCAAGTCAAATACCTCCTAGGGATTGCAGCCTGGCCCCCACTCTCGCTGGGCTGCTCGCATTTGAAACGGCTTAGCGTGGCAGACAAGACTGTCGGCTCAACATCCGCCTCAGAGCTGCCTCAAGATATTTAGGTACTTAAACAAATAAACCTACAGTCTTGTAAATAGAGCATGATACGTACACATAATTTAGCAAAGTATTAACAGCCTGAGTTTCTCTGAACTGTGAAACATTGTCTTCTGGTCTGCGTAGGTAGCTCAGAAAAATCACTGCCGAATCAGTTTGGGTTTTTTTTCCCCAATTAGCTGCCTTGGGAGGCACCCCTGTAGAAGTAAGATAGGCCAAGCTAAAGGATCCAGTGACAGTCAGAAAATTTGTGAAACGAATGCTTGCCCTTCAGAAGTGATGTTTTCATTCGTTCTCAGCTTGATTCTTTCCCAGGAAAGTTATTGTCTGCTGTGGTACTTGTTCTTTAAATTTCCATTTTTCAAATGTTTTATCTACATTATTAATAAACAGGGATTGCACCTGTCACACACAAGAGAGAAATTGTATTTATTCCTAAAAAAAAATAAAAAATTGATTTCTACCCCTATGACTTCTCAGTAAATAAAAGCTGATGAGCTGTCACAGTCCTCTGCAAAGTGCAGTGAAGTATGGTGTCCCTTAGGAATTTTTAACATAAAGTGATCTTCTTTTTGAAGAAGTCCAAACTCGTAAGCAAAAACTAATTAATAAGATCATAATAGCCTAAAAAGACATTTGTCAGGCATCAAATTGCAACTTAGCCAACTGTACAACACACCAGTTTTAGTGACAGGTACTGTCCAAGCTGGAAGCCAGGAAGGTACCATTTCCCTCTCAAGTATTTCTGCTTCTGCTACGTATACTGAATATTCATTCTTAAGCCAGATGGCCTCTGCCTGTGGTACAATTAAAATGCCTTAGAGCAGAAAAAAAATGTTGATTCTCATTAATGTGCAATGGTAGGGACTGTTCTGCTCCATACGACTTCGTTATGTCATTGAAGTAGAGACATTTCCCACATAGCAGTGTTGTAAACTTCCCCAAACCTTTATGACAAGCTTGGTGAACGTGTCATTATCAGATATAGAGTATTCGGTCCTTTCAGCTGCCTCAGACTGGTATTTAGGAAGGCATTGTGGAAGGAAGACTGCGCATCAGATCTTGTCTCAGCTGTCATTTCCAAAGACATAGTGCCATGTAAGTGATTATTGACTGACAAACTGAAAATGAGTCGGACTAGTGACCCCGCCGGCCTGTAAAAGTGAAGGGAGAGGCTTCAGCAACACAGGCTAGAAATCAGCCAATATAAACTAGTTCATTTCTTTCCTCTGTCAAAATAGGCTTAACTTTAGTGTAATTTTCCTGTAACATTTTTAAAGAAATGCTTCCAGTCCGTAAATGCTGCTAGAAAACAAGATCTAGAGAACGTGGATTCATCATTCATGCCAGAGGACACAGTCATGCAGGTCTTATTGCAGCATTTCTTATTCTAACTGTCCCTTTGGCACTGTGAATGTAGAAAATTCATTTCATCCTCCCCCCCCGAGGTGTCAGAAGACAAACACATCACAACACAATAACGCCAGCTGTAGAGAACAAGAATAATTAAATTCTACAGCTGAAAGCAGCAATTCATCAGCATCAACATCTTCCGTCCGTGTGGTGTGTGGTCCTCACGTAAAGCTAGTCTGGAATTTTCTCACAAAACGAAAACTCCTTGCAGAAATATGTCATTTGCAGTTAATTTTTGCAAAAGACTTTTCAGATCAAAAGTAGGATTCTGGTCAAAATCAGAGAGAAGGAAACAGTGTATTTTATTCCAGTAATTCTGCTCTTTAAACAAATCCCATTTTTGTACACATTGGTACAGGGGTTTAAGCTTCAGAGCCATAGGGCTTCTTTTTTTCCATGTAATAAATATTTGATTATTTCTACAGCCATAGAACAATTCTAGAGGGAAAGATGGAAGGACTCACCTGAGAAGGCTAATGAGCAATCCACCTTTGAGCTCCCAAATCCTGGTGATCTGGGTATTTTTGCATGTGAATCCCTGGACTTGGGTAGGCACCCAGGTCCTGCCTGTTACGGGGTCTGTGAATCTAGCTTGACTGCTTTATTTATTCTAACCACTGAATAAGAAAGCTTCAGAGCACGGTGTCTCTTGTGTCTGTCCCAATTAGGATCAGACCCCTCTAAAGTAGGCTGACTCTCGGTGCACACCTAAATAGCATTGGACCCTATTCTCCACTGAATCTGTTGTTCCCCTGTGTCCCAAGATATTGGGGTTTTTGTGCATGTTTTCTCAGGTCTAAGTAGTCAAAATGTTTATTTTAAGAGACATGTTGAGAGTTGCTGGAGAGTGTTGTGATGGCAGAAAAGTGAAGGATTTTGTTGCATGCCTTGTTGTATGGCATGCAAAGGGGTAAGGATGCTGTACG